AAATAAAAAAAAATTCTTAGAATTTGCATTTAAGACTGCTACATATACTCATGTAAATTATAAGATTTGGTTGTTAAGTTGCAATTTGAAAGAATTGTAAACCTGTAAATTTCCACTGTTGTCCATCTGTTGTCTGTCCTTCCTTTATCTCAAGAACATAGTTAGGTAGATAAAAGCCAAGATCAGATATGGAAAGCCTAAGGGCAGGAGGCCAAAATTAACTATATTCAAACTTCCAACGCAAACTGGAAGTAACATTATTTCAATTCAAGGAAGGAGTTAGTAGATGACCGACATTACTTGATTGCTAAAAGAAAAGTATGATGTACAAGGGCAAGACATTATTAATTTGAAGGTGGTGAGAGCATATATTTTAAATTAAATAAATTAAAAAATATGATTAAAAATTGCAGCCAGGCATTGTCACAATGTCACAATAAAGAATTGATTTTTCTATATATATATATATATATATATATAAACATATGTAGTGATAATCAGTCTTTCATTCCAACTTTATCCCATAGCAATCAGAAAAAATTTAATTTGAAGTTTGAAGATTTGTTTGTTTGTATGAGTGCAATTTCTTTCAATATGGAATAGTGTTTGTATGCCATTTGGTGTTAAAAGCTAGAGGTATTTTGATGTTTAATTGAATAAGTCAAATAAAAAATAAAATAAAATTTATGAAAATAATATAAATTTAGAAAATTTTGCTGATAAGTAAGTTACCATTGTCCCTGCTTTGATTTATTAATTAAAATTTTAAAATATTTTTAGACACATCCCATTACATTAATTGGTTAATTGTATTGTTTTTACTGGTTTTTAAGATTGGAATCAATCTTCCATTTTTCCATACAGACAGTATCTTTTTTACATGCTTTTTTTTTAAAATAGATTTTTCATAAGGTTTATACAAAAACTGACTTTTTAAAAACTGGTTTTCGAATCTAAACTTTTCTACTAAATTGGTTTTAACCAGTTTTTGAATTTTCACCCCTCAAAAAAATTAAGATTAGGGATATTTTATTTTATATTATATTATAAACTTATTTTAAAAGTTTTTAATTTATTTAATATTTATAAAATTTCAAAAATATAACAAAATAAAATCAACCAATGTCTACACAAAACAAAACAAAAGAAAATGCTACATTATCACATTAAACTATAAAATTTACTCCATAGAAAACCATAAAGAAAAACGAATGACAAAATGACAATGAATGCCTACAAAATATTATTTCTTATTTTTCCTAAGAAAATACGATTTTAGAAAGCAAAAAACGTCTATAGATCTATTGCTCAATAGTATCTTATTTTGCACACAAAATTGCCAGAAATTGAAAAAACTCTCTCACTTGCTACTGAGCACCTCTACTCAGACAGAACACTCAAAAAGTTTAAAATCACACTACTAAGTGCGATTTTAAAGAAAACAGGGAGTGAATGCGAAATTCGGAATTTTTACCAAATTTTCTGATTAATATCCTGCATTTTTCTAAACCCCCAATTAAATTTTCCTTTAAATTCTAAACTAAAACCTAGCTTAAAAAAAGGCCCCTTTCGTTCTCCCCTTTCGTTCAAAGTAGACATCCGTCCATTTCGAAAACAATCCCACATTCAACTCCAAAGTTGATAGTTAGCATGGGCCTGGGGACAACTTTGACCCATCCGAGTATCTTTTACCTCACAACAATTGGTCACCTGACCATTCTCCCACGACGAAACTATATAAGCCACTTGCTTCCCCCTCTCGGGGGAGTCGTTCATCCGCCGTCACTTTAATACTGTGTGCTACGAATATTGCGTCCTATGTCTATTATTTTCCTCAAAGAGAAAAATATAATTTCCTCAAGAGATCTATCAACCTAAAGAGGTATGGAACAAATTTTTGTGAACTCTCTCTAGACCCTTTGCATTTTAAGGACTCATAAATTTCCCTCGATAATAGTTATTGTACCGTCTATGTAGATAGCTAATAAATCATTGTTTCCTTGTTAAATTGGTGTCCTCAGTTTACTCGTATATCGCCTGCCACCTTACTGACGGCACTCCTCCCTCCTCCACTCGATCCGAACAATTAAATCCCGTTACCGCGGGAAAGGGAAGAAGAAACATTTAAGCCATCTTGACAGTGAGCAGGTTTAACGACCTGTCGCCGGAAAGGGAGACCTCCAACCTCCCTGGCGGTTCACAAGATCTATTAAACCAAAACATAGATTCTTTGAAGTTTATAATTATCATGTTATTTGTACAGTAAGACCCTGCTTAACGCTGCCTCAATATAACGTGGTCTGCACAAAGCCTTAAAAAAAATTAAAAAAATATCAAAATTTACAGTTTTAAATTATCACGGCATTTCATTGATTCTTATATAATACGATTATTTACAAACACAAACCAATCAGCAAAAGGTGGCAAAAAGGTGTACTTTCTTTAAATCTGTTTGTTTGGTGCAATTTTGAAAAAAATATATCATCATTGATGCCATAGGCAATATCATCTTTGCTTGGGAAGAATTAACTGATAAATGCACAAAGTGTGGAAGAAGTTATGGCTGAAGGTATCCAAGAATTCTCAACAAGAAGAGCCTATCGCTGTATCGTTACGTTGACCAAACAACCTAATCGATATAGCAGGACTAGAAAATATAGACAAGCAGCATAGTGAGGAGTTACAGCAGATTTCTGGTGAGAGCCTTACCAACAATGACCTTCAAGAACTGGCAAACATGGAATTCATGTGGAAATGGAAAATGGAGATTCTGAAAACGAAAAATCCAAAAAATTTCTCTATAGATTTCCTTAGTAAGACTTTGGTAATGATAACCAAAATCATTGATCAAATTGTAGTGAATGATCCAGATTTTGAAAGGAGTACAAAAGCAAAACAAGGCGTTTTGGATGCGATCTTCTGCTACCAACATTTGCTTAAGGAAAGAAAAAAGCGACAAATGAAACTTCACAACTTTATTGCAAAAGAACAAGAATTTCAGAAAAGTCAGGACCTTTGTCACAAAAAATGAACTTTACATTTTTGTGTGCATATGTTTATGTGTTATTTAACATATATTATTATACAAATTAATATAAAAATAACTTAAAATTAAAGTAAAATTTTTTATTTTTGGTCACATGTTCTCCTATCCCTATTTACTCTATGTTAAAATGACCTTGTTTAATGCTGTTTTGCTGTTAGTGCTTTGTTATCTAGGAATGTATCCCCCGTTAAGCAGGGTCTTATTGTATTCGTTCTTAAATTACATTTGAATATTGTCATAAATACTTACTTTTTCTTCTAATGTTGATAATTTTAAGTCCTTAACACTTATAAATTGTGGATATGAATGAATTAAACTTTCAATTGCAAAAGCCTGCTCTTCACTAACATTAATATATTGTGATTCAATTTCAAGGTATAATTTTGTATTCTCTAAAGAGTAGTATAATTTGATTGTTTCTTCCACAACTAATCTGTAATAGCAAAAATAAAATATAATAATTGAATTAATTGATATAAAATTTTTAATAAAAGTTATTTTAATTATTTATAAATTTAAAATGATAGATAATCATTAATATATTATTTTATATCAAATAATAATAATAATAATAATGTCATTCCATATCAAATTTGTGTACTTGCACTACAGAACTTAAAATAAACGTATATAAGTTTAAAAGCAATTCATAAACAATATATATATATATGAACTTCATTTATTAGTGGCATTAGTGTTGTAAAAAATAAATCAAAAAGCATAAATATGTTTGAAAATATATTGAAGGTTTTTACAACTCAAAAACTACATTTATAAAAGTTTTTATGCAAAACATGTTATAATCAGCAAATTTTCACAATGAACTTTTATATCACTATTTAATTTTGATTTTACTTTTTCAATATGTCTTACCAGTACATTAACCTTTCAACAGGTATGGTGCTATCTCTACATAGGGGAGAATAAACGTGGGAAATTTTTAAAGTATTTTCCCACACATTTTTTCTCATTACCATTTCAGAAAAAGATTTCATAAACAGTTATCTGTAGTAAAGAAAAGTCTTTTTTATTGTTACATAATTCCTTTTTTATGTGAATTTTTTCTTCGTGGTAGTTTTTGGTGATATCTGCAAAATTCAAAATTCTTTTCAGGATATAGCTGTCATTCACAAGTGCCACACGATCGCCCTTGACAGATATATCTGTCAGTCATTGCTGAGTGGTTAAGGATATACAGGGCAAGTTTTTTATCTTGAGACAATGAAATAACTTGATCTCATTATTCTGAAAAAAGTTTAGACAAAAGTTGTAGGGTTTTGAAGGGGCAATCAATTGGTAACCTTGGATATGACCTTCCAGTAATAAAAAGTATTGTTTCCCATTAGAAAAAGCTTTTAATTTTAACCTTAAAATAATCTTGACCTTTAACCCAGACCTTAAGGTCAAGGGTATATCCAACTGTGAAATTTCCTGCTCTTTCTATTGCTGGGGTCAAAAATATGTATTCCCATTGAAAAAAACAGACTTGACCTTAAAATGACCTTGAAGGTCAAGATGACATCCAAGGTCACCAATTGATTGTCCCCTTCAAAACCCTACAACTTTTGTCTAAACTTTTTTTCCAGAATAATGAGATCCAATTAAGTTATTTCATTGTCTCAAGATAAAAAACTCACCATATATATATATGGTGAGTTTTTTTATCTTGGTGATTTTATATATATATATATAATCAATAGGACTGTTGAGTTTGTCTGGGGCCAAGATTAAAATGGGCTCCTTCTGCCATTTTTTTTGAACAAATAAAGTGCATAGAATCTGTTTCATTATTAATAAAAAGCATTCTTAACCCAGGATTGGTCATCTGGATGATCAATCTAAATATCAAGATATTCCTTAAAACTCTGAAAATTTAATGCAATTTAACATATGTTTATGATATTTCAATATTCAAACTTTGGCTAATAGCAATTATATTATGATAATTCAGATAACATATTACCTTAATCATCCAAATATTACAACTTCATTCTTTATATATAAAGCTACACTAACTGCCATATAATATCAGGCTAAATATCAGCAATAATAATTTTGAATTACTAATTAATTTGTCTCTAAAGGGATGCATTAGGTGCTTTCTTGTATTAAATTTAATAATTATAATTTAATTAAATAATTTTAGAATAAACTGGAAGAAAAGGATCAGCCTGGAGTGGGACTCGAACCTGAAACTCCTGCTTGCCATGTGAATGCATTGCCAATTACACTACCCTGACATCTGGTCCAATCTCCTCTTCCAGGTATATTTAATTTACAATATAATCATTGTCGAATATTTCTGTTGGTGCTGACTGGAAGTCTGGGTAGTGTAACTGGCAACACATCTGCACAGCAAGTGGGAGTTGTGGGTTCAAGTTCCACTCTGAGTCAATTCTTTTCTTCCAGTTTATTCTAAACTTATTTAATTAAATTATAATTATTAAATTTAATACAAGAAGATGCCTAATGCCTCCCTCTAGAGACAAATTAATTGGTAATTCAAAATTATTATAACAAATATTATATGGCAGTTGGTGTAGCTTTATTATTATAATGTATCGGGTTTCATGGGATGGTTATATTTATATATATTTAAATTATTAAATTAATTCATTTTAAGTTTTTAAGATACCTGTGTTATAATTTCTAAAGAGTATTAAATATATAATCTATTTAAAGATACATTAAATAGATACCTAATACAGGTTGGATGGATAATTCTTATTATACTGGTGGGCATTATTAACACTTCATTTTCATGTTGTTCATTATGAACACTATGTAACTTGTCATCTGTTTATTTAAAAAAGTTGTTATTAATATTGTAATATTGAACAAACTCAGTATGCTAAATAAATAATTAAGTATTGTGAAACTTTAATACTTAAAATAAAAAAAGTACAAAATTTTTCAATAATAAATTATTTAGGATTCAATTAAAATTAAAATTTATTATAAAAAATTAACAAAATTTTTCTTTATATTAAAAGTTAAAATTTAAAATAATGTTTATATAATATCAACATTTCAAATTTCTAAATA